ACTCATTTTGATAGAGTCAAAAAATATTTTCCAATGTTCTTACTGGGCATACAAATGCACAAGTACTTGTGTTGTGTACAGTAGGCCAATTTTGATGTAGCAAAATCCTAACTTGGCCTGGCATGTAAGGGAGTGAGGGGCACAGTGGCCTAATGGTTTGTCCCCTGGACTGTGGATCAAGAGGTCCAGGGTCGAGCCGTGGCCAGGGCCACTACATGTAAGTTGTGTTTACCCTGACAGTGCCTCACTCCACTCAGGTTTATAAATGGGTACCAGCGAACTTAATGCTGGGGGGTAACCCTGCGATGGACTAGCATCCCATCCAGGAGGGAGTAGCAAAACTCCTAGTTGATTAATGCTATGGAAACCAGGATAAGCTCCGACCGTATGGACCACTTAGCCTAACATGGACATAAATACATGTAGTTTAACCTTGTGTGGGGCTGTGTTACTAAAGAGGGCATCCATGTTAAATAGATTGCCTCAGAGCAGGGTTCAAATTGCTGTACAAATATCAAAACCAGCCTCTTGGTTAACGTTCTTTCAGAGATCAGATCCTGATGATGAAAACAAGCTCAAGCCTGGACTCAAGTTAGAACTACTGCAGAAAGACGACCCTCTCAGTTATTGGGTCGTGTCTGTGGTCGACGCCTATGGATTGAGGCTCAGATTACGTCTTGAAGGCTCTGAAGATGAAGCCAGTGATGTGTGGGCTTACTTCTTGTCAGATAATGTTCATCAGCTTGGATGGGGCAAGAAAAACAAACTGAGACTCAATATCCCTCTTGGTGAGTAAAAACGAAACAAAGGAAATTGAATGAGCTTGTCTATTTGTTTCTTTTGTTTCTGTCTCAGTGATGTAGGCCACACTATCAGGCAGTGGCTGAACGTCAGGAAATTGTGTGATCTTACATGTATTACATGCATTGTTTAAAAAAATATAATTATTGTTCTCTTGTATCAAAGAGCTGAAAGCCAAGTATCCAAATAAGGACTGGGCACAAATTCGAGGAAGACTTCTTGGTGTTTGCAATTTGACTAACGAAGATGAATCACTCAACCAAGCACTGAACAAGGTTTGTTTTATGTTCTACCCTGTGTTGTTAATAATTTTATATATACCTGCATAACTCTAACTCTTTCAGCTTGGGAGAGTCTTTGTGGGCTTGCGACTTCACTAAATTTGGTTTTGTTGGATACAGTAACTAACGCATAGATTTTTATAGTGCTCTAGTCTTTGAGTGTATAAAATAGTGAACCTCTGCTATACATAATATGAGTCACCATGCCTTGAGGTTTGTGGTCTTAGATGTATAGATTCATTTTCTCTTTTTCAACCAACTTTGGTCAAAGCTATCACTTCATCAGTGTTCTTAAGGAGATTTTTTGGAATACACAGATCGCAAGCTTTCAATTAGTTTATCATACGTGGATACAAGGGTTTATTAATTAAATTGGAAAAATACATGTACATTGTAATTTAGAGCTCACAGGGTTAAGAGTCTGATACTTAACAGTGTAATTGTCCAGTCTTTCAGCCAGAAAATTTTACTTGAGGGCCAAAGTGGCCCCTGAAGATCTTTTTAGGGCCCTATTTTTTAGGAAAGGGGCCAATAAATTGAAAGCTACAGAAGGAAAAAATGCATCAGGGTACCAAGGAAAGTAAAGCCGTTTATCAGGATCTATGATAAAATTTAATAGTAAGTGCTTTTTGAAGCATTTCTACTCAATAACGTTTCTTTTGAATCAGATACAGNTTTCCTCTCTTATTTGACAATTAAAAATGACAATTATTATTTTAGCTGCACTTTAGGGGCTGTGGTATTATGACGTAACTGTACATGTATGTGGAACTAACTGTTTGAATCTGTTAACATTTCAGTCAAGCAGTTTACCAAGACCTCACGGCTTTACAACAGGATTAAAGCTTGAAGCTGTCAATCCAAATGATCCCTCATCCATCTGTGCTGCTACTGTTTCCAAAGTTACGAGCGAGTACTTCTTCCAAGTAGAAATTGACAGCATGATCACTTGTGGTGATGGGAGCCGACCTTCCATTTGGTGCAGTTCTAACTCTCGGAATATCTTCCCTGTGGGCTGGTGTAAGAAGAATAACATTCAGCTGACCCCTCCCCCAGGTAGGGTGCTGTTTATGTTTTCTTTGTGATGATACACAGTTATAATACATTGCAAGAAAACTTAAATCATACAGATGGTCCCTGTAGATTGGCAGTACAAAGATCGTGCTTTCAGTTTCGTTAGTCTGACTTCTTTTAGATTTCTCTGTTTATTCATAACTATATGAGTAATAACGAAGAGGCAAGATTTGCTGTTACTCCGAGTTTCGTGCTTACGCACTCATCAGACAGTATTTAATGATAAGCATTCCTATCAACTNTCAAACTCATCAGCAGCCCCTGACTCGCTGTTCAACTTGGTAATGACTTTATCCTTGTCATACAGCTTTAAATACACAGTAAAAATCCGATTTTTTTTGTAGTTAAAGTCAGGTAGTTCAAGAAATTAGGGGTATAATTACAGTGTTCAACTGAGGGGAGGGAAACTGAATTTAGATTTGTGTTTCGGGGGTGTTCAAAAAATCTAGGGTGTGAGAAATCAGAATCCCACTGTAATGTTTAATATACATGTAGGTTCAATATTGGCTCAATATTAGATTTTAGGTTCACTGCCATTGTAGAATAGTTCTGGAATGTTTTAAAAGAGTTTTGAAGGAGAAATGGACAAGCAAAATCCCTGAGCTAGATTGCAGAACACTTTATATTTGAGTGGGAGAGTATGTGTCAAACCGTGGCTCCAACGAAGGCTCTGGGACAAGTGGGGAAATACAGTAACATGTGGGGTTACAGGGAGGGCTATGTTTCCCTTGGCCGTCAAAGGAATTCCCTGTTGCTAACCTTGTGGGCTCATGAGCTAATTGACCCTTTGCACCTCACAATTTGTCGGTCACAAATTGAAACTTTGAGAATGAAATGGCAGCAAAGAAGAGATTGGTTTTTGAAGGGTATTCCAGGACAAAAAACTGTCAAGTTTAAACTGGGTAATTTATAATTTTAATTATTGTAGTGATAGAACTTTGGAGCCTTATTGTAATTCTAAGAGTGTTGGTCAAACTTCACTTCTATGTTCACCAATGAATATCTGAGATGGTTCTTTGTCTTTTGTTTTCTTATTTAGGAAGTTCCATCTCATGAGTTTGACATCGGTATGAAGTTGGAAGCAGTGGACCAAACGGACCCAAGCACCATGACAGTAGCGACAGTCACCCAGGTGGTCGGACGGACAATGTGGGTTTTACTGGATGGCTATAAAAACGATTCAGTGGAACACATTTATGATGTGGAGTCGTATGACTTGTACCCAGTCGGTTGGTGCAGTATGAATGGACATCCCCTACTGACCCCACGAATACAACGTAAGAATGTTACTTGTGATGTCTTAAGTTACCTTAGCATATAATTTTCTCTAAAGATAGAAAAGCAAAAAGTATAATCTTAATTTAAACACAAAGATGGTGAAAGTTGGGGAGTATTGAAAAACTGAAATTTTTAAACTAACTTTTTCAAGATGTTCCCTATTTGGTTTACGTGTGCACGACACACTTGTTCCATTACTTCAAAGTTACCTCAACTTCCAAAAAATTTATCCATTTTTTTTTTCTCTATGGCATGGTTTAACATCAAAGGCTTGTTTGTATTCTAAGAAAATACAAGTGATTCGTGGTATATTCCATGGTATACCACTGGGAAGCGTTTTGTAACTGGTGTGATATGTTTATCTATGACTGTGTATTCTTATGATTCATGTACCTTCATTTTCTCAGGTCCTGTTGAAGAAAACAGGCGTCTTGCTTCATTGAGGTATTGAAACTACGTCAATTTTTAACTTAGTTATTGCGTACAATATGTAAACAATTCTATCAGTTCTGAGTTTCGTTACTTTCCAACGTAAACTGTGGAATTAGAAGGAGATGAGAAGACTTCGCTAACCTAACCTGAAATGTCATTCATCTCCCGCCCTCGGCCGAATCCCCGTTTTCTAATGTTATGCCTACCGTCCACACTAATCCACTATGAAAACGGAGCCTTTCGAAAACGCTCTTCAAACCGGAGGAATTTGAAAACACCAGCTGTGCGTATTAGTGTGGATGGAAAACATTTTGAAAACAGAGCTCTTTTAAAACGATGACGTCACGATAATCACGTGATTTCCTTGACCGAGTTTTCCTCAAACACAAATCCAAAATGGTGTTTTCAAATTTCTCCGGCGTAGTGTGGATTAAAGGAAACTAGTTGAGCTTCGGCTTAGTCAAGTATTTGACTCTTGAGGAGACAAAACTCGGACGCAAAGCAAACATACTGAGAAAGATTCTTGTAATGGGTAGGCTGAGTCCATGTTGATCTCTCATAGAACTACAAGACAAAGAGAGAGCAAGAAAACAACTTCGGATACCAGCGCTGCAGCCACACCAAGCGTTACAAACACTTTATCAAGCAGAACTAATGATATAGGTACCTCAAATGCTACAGACACCTTAACGAGCTCAATCAACACAACGCCGGTATCAAATGCACTCAGCGCAACAAATACACAGGTTACAAATCACTCACAAAGCCCAAGCGTCCACAAAGAGGACACTCCAGCAGAAGCTCAAATGGACCTTGTTGCGGTCAAAGAGGAGAAAGATGACGTACCCACAAAAAAGGCCCCGGCCACGGCCCCGGCCACTCCAAAAGGCAAGTACGATCTGAGGCCCTCGACCCTCGTCCCTCGGGATTATGGGACCCAGTTGGACGACCCTAGTGAAGATGGCGAGAATGGGGATAAAAAGAAAGTCGAAGCTGTGATTGATTTAACAGAGGATGACGAAGAGGGTCCAAAGGTCACCAAACCTGTAAGCACGAAAACAACTCCGGCCACAGACGGTTCAGGTATGCGTGCATGAAGTGTATGGTAGTGATCTTCCAGACATGAATGAGAATTGCATGTTAGGGATTTGTCGTGAACGCCTGAGACGAAAATAAAAACAGCTACCTTACCTCCTGTTATCTTCAAATACATTCAAGTAAGCTAAAGCCCACATTTGCTATATGAAAACATACACTGTTATTTTAAGGTAGGGCGATTTAGAATGCGGATATGCGCGAAATATATTACGGGTTTTGTCCAGATCTTGTGCATATGACACAGACAATCAGGAAAACAGGCATTTTTTTATCTTTAATTTCCAATGGTTTTTCTTCAAAGGTTGAACACACTAAAACATATCAGAAACTACTGAACCTTAATTTACGTTGTTATGGCAGATAATTTCGAAAATTACTTTTGCCCCTATATTCTTTGTAGGAATCAGCTACAGGCACCTTTTCTAGATGCTTAGAAAAGCTGTTCACGTTAGTGGCAACTTCCCTCTTACAACTGTAATTTTGCACTTGGAGTGTAAACCTCTAGTTTTACAGAATATAGTACATCGTCTGTACTTAATATGTTGCGGTTTATCTTTCTTTCTCAGGAATCTGTATTTACGTGAAGAAATCTTGTGAGCCTGGTCCATTTCTAAAGCAAGCTAAGATAGCTGGTATACCTTCAGTCATTGGTCCGGCTGGTCCGAACATTGTCTTGAGACAACTTGTTGAACAAATTGTGTTGAGCGCTCACTCGTCTAAAGAAGTTCTCAAGCTGCTCGCTTCTGAGACAGATAAGATGACAATCGCTTCTATCCTAAAGGTAATATTTTGTATTTCGCGTTGTTTTTTTATTATTATTGTTGTTGAAGATACACAGTTCAGTGAACGAGTCACTGAACATTAAAGAATGTCGAGATTGTTTTATGTACAGAAACAAAGCTTGATACCAAGATTTTCGATCATGTTCCAGACATTAGAACAAGCGGTTTAGCAAGACAGATCGCGAAAGGCGATGCAATTTTTTTCTCGGGTTCCACGCGCTCCCTCGCGTATCGCGCGTTTGCCACGCTAAACCGTTTATTATCTAGGCTAGGAGAATCCGCGATATGTGACACGTGTACAATATTGCTTAGCAACACCGCTGAGAGTGGAAGTGGTGTTGATCGATTCCTTATTCAGTAGCTTGAGGCTTTTCCTCCATTTTTGTGGCGTAACTACGTTCTTTTTCTGTGTTTTCAACTTTCTCGTAGACTCTCAAAACCAAGCTCTCCTTATGCGAGAATCTCATCAGCTTGAATAAAGTAGCGCTTTGTGTACACTGTGATGCCAAGAAAGGTAAGAGTCTTTCAGTCGAAAAATTTGATGACTTAGGAGTGAAATAGAATAAGTACTCTAGATTGAGCTAAGAAATATTTCATTTTTAACTCGTGATTGCGGTAGCAAGTCATGAGTTGTGGGTGATCAGATTATTTAGTGGCGTAGTGGAAAAATGTTTAGCTCGTTGGATTCCCGATCTAAGTGCTGACTAGGTTCATCGTGTTCGATTCCTAGGCAAGAGACTCTACTCTGATAGTGCCTCTGGACACCCATGCGAACTGTTGAGCAAACCTAGTAAACTGCTGAGATGGGCGGGGGGGTGTCGTTCTCTGATGGACTAACATCCGATCCTGGGGAGAGTAGCAATACTCCGATTCACGTTATGTTACAGATACTGGAATCAGCTTTGGCTTGGTGGGTTTCTTTGGTTCAATTTCCCTAACAGCGGCTGGCGATCGAGCCACACTAGCATAGAAGGAATATTTCACTTAAGTGGACTTGTTTACTGTTTGTTTATTTGTTTGTTTTTCAGTTCCTCTTTCACCACCGAGTTCAACATCCCGGAAGACCAACGAATCTACACAAACGCCAAGCAAAGCTACCCCACTTGAAAACAACAAACCAGCGTCACCTAAAAAGGTTGTCCCTAAAGAAGATAGCCAACCCGCGGGTCCTCCCGCGAGGACACATTCTCAAAAGAACAATAAATCAACGGGACATCCCGCGAAAACTGGGAAAGCCCCCAAAGCTGCTGCTGTGGCGAAAAAAGCCCCTCCGGCGCCCTCAAGACCCGAACCCGCGGGATCACCAGAAATCGCGAGATTACCCGAAACCGCGGGATCGCCGGAACGAGCGGAATCACCCGTTCTCCCAGCGTCGCGTTCAACGAAACACATAACACAATGGAGCGTTAGCGAAGTTGTAGATTTTATTAAGACAACGGACTGTTACAAGTTTGCAGGGGACTTCTTGAGACAGGTAACTAGTGAAACATCATGTTATGTTACATGAAGTATAAACCATTAACTATAAATGAGCTAAGAGTAGCACGGACTGTCACGCAACACATGAGAAGGAGGTTTAAAACATCTTGATTCTTCTCTGATTTTCAAGTTGTCAACCAAATTTTAATTGTTTTCAGCTTGGAGAGGTTATGAAAAAAGCAACAGAACTTTAAGATTTTTTTCTCAAGTACATTTTGTGTCTTGAAAAATCTCTCAAGTAGCCGGCACGCGCAGGATTACTTTACGGTGATTTGAATCGATCGCCGGTGCTGGTGGAGAACTCTGTTAAATAACTTCTAGGAGCCTCTAGAAGGGTAAACGAGCAATACCCAAAGTGGAGTTCGACTACCATTATAATGATATTATGTTTTTCTTTTAATCACAGGAAATCGACGGACGGGCTTTAACGTTACTCTCCCTTGACGAGATTCACAAGTGTCTTGGGGTTACACTAGGGCCCGCCATTAAACTTCACTTCACTGTACAGAAACTGAGAAAGAAAGATCGATAACAGTAACTGATATCCGCCTTGCTAGTCACAGACAAAGGTTCCTGCTTCCAGCCCTTCACAGAGCGGTACTGAAGAGCTGTATGCTAAATCAAGAGTGTTTCATTGCGGGAATATCGATTCTAAGAGTCGGTTAAACTGAGCCCGCTATGCTCAACTTCCGGCCAGCAAGTTTGCCTTTAACAGGAAGTGGCCCTCAAAACTTCAAAGCCTGCAACTTATAAAGGGTAGCCAGTTTCTTTCCTGATTGGCCATTCAACTTTAAAACATCTGAGAAACACTTTGGATTAGATCAATGCATTGGCGAACTACGGAAGGATTTAGCACTGTCTGGTTTTTATTCCCCCTATATTTAATGTTCGATTTTCGTGTAACTGCAGCTACAAAACTCACCAGGAAACAAGATTCTGGGTTCTAGGAACGGAGGATGAACCTGAAGCTACCTTCCTACAGTCGGCGGTACTCGGGGTTGCATTTTTTTAAGCTGGGAATAAAAAGTACTTTGCCGGTTAACATTTACGCTGCTCAAATTGAGTGGTAGTTGCTGTGGTGAAACATTTGGTGGGGAAGGCCTGGGGCGAGTGTTCTGTGTCCAGTTATTTTAAGGGTTGACATATCTTCAGTGGATTGAATTATCCGTCGTAACCAGTAACTCACGTCTGGCCGTGAAAAGTTCTCTGGTTTGTCTTCTGGTTTACCTTAGTTCTGTATATTTGACGCCTCATCAGTTTTGCCTGCTTGCTCTGTTCTCATGAGAGTTATGAACTGCTTAAGAAATATGAAATTTGCAAACTTATTACTCGAAACTATTTTAATACTTGTACTAAGCGTTATCTATTGACGTTTTATGAAGCGTGAAGGAGACTTAGCGTGTTGAAACTATACGATCTGATCACAACTTAAAGGTTTTTATATTTTCTGTTGATCATTGTTAGAATTAGATAACTTGAAGTATGCCTTTGTTCCCTTCTGTTCGTTGTGGACGAAGAGGGCGTAAAAGGTTTACTCCGGTTTGTTTATCCACGTGTCTATCTTTTTCCTGTTATTTTTTTTCTTTTCTGCGCTTTTCGCCGAACAAACTTTGGGAAAAGAAGGCCTTTATCTCGCAGCCTGTGCCAAGCTATTCACAGTCTTTTTTTTTGTCTCAACTTGTGCTCTTCGTTCACATTCGTCTAGCAGTAAGTGGAATAGACTAATAGTCCACTCTAGCATTGCAGTGTAATTTCTATATACGGCTATTTATGGACACGTTTTTCTTGGTGATAAGATACTGTTCTTGTTAGGGCCTTTCGTGAGTGACTGTGTTTTTATTTCAAGTAGAAATCGTAAGCTAATCACTATTGTTATTTACTACTTGGAGCTGTCACGCAAACACTTACTCTTTTGTCCAAGTAACGCTTGTTCAAGTGTTGTTTTTATGACCCAGAACACAACATTGTGTCACGTAAACATATTCTCCTTGTACATAACCGTGAGTTCGAAGTTTACTTCTTGGGCCATCACTCAACACTGTTACAAACGCAGTGTTGCGTGACTGTAATGTAAGTTAGTGTCACGTACGTACCATTTTATACAGCTCTCAATGAGGCCTGTGTGGGATAGAGTATGCTTAAGTTTGATAATATTCTAGCTTTATAAAGCTTATAGCTTCCTTTACAGCCGTCGTTTTAATTAACTCTCACTTTCATTAATGCATTTATAAAATGCATTTTCGTCCTCGTGTAATATAGATTTCGCCTGGCGTAAAGTCGCCTGATTAGTTTGATCATCTTCTAACTATGGTTTGATGAGCAGCAAAGCTGTTAGTTCAGCCTCGTTCCTGGGCCCTTCTGAGCAGCCTGAAGACGAGGCTAACAGTAGCTTTGTTGGGTGTACTGCCTTTTTGTCGATGATTGTTATAATTTTAAGCGTTCACTCTCCAGTCATTCTTCTAACTTCATATTTCTTTTTTTGCACACGGGAAACGTGCGTTTAGGAATATAGAGTTAGCTTTTTGTATCAATAACGTTTGGGAATCATGAAATAACCCGGACTGCATTTTTCAAAGTTCTAATACAACAAGGACAATAAAAATGCGACACTTGAAGACAACTTTTCTTGTAGTGTTTTTATTCGATGTAGCACCTTCCTTCCAATATGCACCTCCTTTCTAATTAACGCTGGCTCCCCCTAGAGTGTCCTGTTATCTTTTCAATAAGCGTCCATGCTCCATAAACTCCCTCTTCTAGTTTCTAATAAAGCGCTGCCACAGCTATGAAAACCTCTTATTGTGGCTTAGTAAATTGCTGTTTTACGTTCCGATCTTTCTGACAGTAAAGAAATACCTACGAGCCTCGTCACCAAGGCTTTAGTCTGGTTAGCGCCTCCTCTGCAAAGCGCCCTCGCTCGAGATAGTGAAAGCAAATTTAGTGCCCGATACCGTAGAAAATTAGCGCCTGGAACGATCAATTCATAAATGGTTAGAATTAACATGGTAGTTAGAATTATGATTACTGCGCCCTTCAATGACATGCCGACAAATGCGTTTTTCACCACCGTCAATCAAATTGTCGGCGGATCCTCCCAGCTTCCGACTACTGCCGAGCACTGTTTCGCTGTCTGAACTGCGCTCAACGATTTGACTACCGCGCGCTCGGCAGTAGTCGGAAGCTGGGATGAGCCGCCGAACGTTTGATTGACGGTAGCGAAAAACGCATTTGTCGGCTGAGCTTTGAATTTTAGAGTCCGCATGTTATTGAAAGGCGCAGTAAGGTGGATTATTTTTCAGCTCTTCGTACTTCAGGTGAATGGTGCCCAGTCCCTATAGCAGGGCGCTCAGTTAGTATTGAGCGCAGATGCTTAGCGTGACTCTGGTCAGTCTGTGACATCATAAATTGGTGACGTTACCAGTCAGTCAGCGGGCAGTGCCTAGGTTCTAGGTTGGGCGAGGGCATTTTTACAAAAATCCAATATGGCAGCTATATCCCTCCAGGGCTACCAACTGAATTTAAGTTCAAGAGCTGAACTGAGGGAGCTTCGTTAGACTGCTAGATGAGCTTTTATATAAACGAATCATACATAAGCCAAAAAATAAACATGTACGGACCAAGTCGTCAATCTGGGAAACGGCAACAGAACACGCGAGGAATACACTGGGATCACCCGAGGATCTCACAGGGAAAGCACCAATTAAATATTAATTTAAAGGAACAAACCCAGTTAAACGCTCTAAAGGTAACTGGACATGGTGAAACATACCGGGGGAACTCACGTAGAGCACAGCAGCAGGAGGCTAGGGAACGAATTTGCGAGGAAAGGGGAAATGACGAATAAACGGATCAGTAGGGAATACACGGAGGAATAGATAGACAAGCTACAAGCTCTATCATCGCTTTGAATTTGCATCTGACATACAAACTTTTCCCACTGCTTTCATATTTTTCAGCTGACGGACGTTTTTTGGGGCAGTCTTTTTATCCACATCTCTGATCTAACTGCCGCCAATTTACTCGCCTTCCATGCTGGCCCGTTTTTTTAAAATTTTACCAGGGTAAATAGCTAGGGAAGAGTTGCGATATCAGCTAACCGAAGGCAAGCGGGTTTTATTTTTTTGATAGGATATTTTGGGCCAGTTACATAAAGGTTCAAATAACCAGACCTCGCCGTGGTCATATATATGACCAAAGTTATTCTAAACAGGCCGATGTTTATTCTCTCTCTGAACTCTTTTAAAATATGTCATGATTACAATATTAATGACTCGTAGTAAAAAAAAAATTTCCGAATTGCTTTCACTGTGGTACAGTTCGTTTCACCCTTTTTCGCATTCCGCGCACATTTTTTTTCAAACAAACAATCGAACTTATAAAGAAAAAGTAGTTAGCATATGCGTTGTTTCTTTCTCGCCTTTCTTAAAGTTTTTGATTCTCTAGTTAAAAGTGTGCAAAGAAAATCTGTGTCAATTATTAGGCGTATTTGTCAGCCATTGGTTTGAGTTTCTAATCCATATTCATGACAAATTGTAGAATCTGCGTCAAACCATGTTGTCCGTTGATGTGTGACGACGTGTCGTCCTTGTGAAGGCGAGTTGGAACTCTTGACGCAAGAAGATACTTGAAGAAGAAGAGCTGGAAGTTTGGAAAAAGTCTTTAATCTTGCTCAACTGAAGGTAAGCTTTGCTTACGGAGAATATTGCTTTAATTTTGGCAAGAAAGCTATAAAAAAGTGACATTATGTCGCCGAAGTTTGAACACGTACATTAGCTCTTCGCTTCGAGTTCGTTACAAGTCGAAATTCGACTGGGAAAGCAGTTTGTTTTGTTTTGTTCGCGGTATTTAAACCTCTCTGCGCAATGTTTGAGAGAAGTTACAAAATTCAGAGTTTTGAAAGTGCTTTTGAAAACTTTCGAATTTTTCGGTGGGGAACGTGTTAGCTTACAAGTTGAAATAAAGACGACATGGCGTGTTAAATTTTCAGTTCTGAATGTGGAGAGGCCTTATCATGGCAAGAGAGTTACAGACTTGCAAAATTTTATCGTTCTTTAGTAAGAAACTATATTTTGGAATTCTTTCAACTTCATATTCTAATTGTGTCTGTTTCTTTGGCCTTCACGGTCATAGCTACTCTTACTTTTACCATGGCGAGTTTAAGACCGTGTTCCAGAGTGTTTATT